TCCAAGCTTGGATTGAGCGAATTCTTGTGCATATTCAAAAGATAATTGAGCTACAAGGTGGTAACGAGTACATAGAGGGGAGAGACAAGCCTCGGCTAAGGCGGCCGTACATCGGATAGATTATTCTTGGCGGGACAGAACTTTTGTGAGGCACCTCCGTAGTGACAAGTTGTAACAATGTTAGCGAATCCTGATAGCCTGGCTGAGGGAAGCCAATAGTACACAAGGGCACCAAGCCCCATTCATACGCTGTAGTAAAGTACGCGACGTCTTTTACACCTGCATTGGGTATCCGATTGGGACATTTGACACGCCTCCATTTGCTAAGACATCCATCGCGATCCGACAAGAAAACGCACTACGCCTTACCCTTCTTTTCCCCACTCTTTCTTCGCCCCTTCTTTGATTCAACCTTTGTCTCTTTCGCCTTAACACCATTGGACTTTTCCTTTGTCGCAACATCAGTTGCGACTTCAACACCGCCGCCCTTTTTCTCTTTGCGGCTTGCTTTCTCCTTTGCGCTCACATGACCATTCTTCTCTTTTGATGCTCCGTTCGTACTCTTCTCCGCCTTTGGCACAATAGCCCTGGGATCCTTGCCCTTCTTGCGCATCGACTTGGCCTGAGCTTTCTCGATGTACTTCTGATCCTCTTCCTCATCGAATCCACCAAAGTCCGATTCTTCGTCACTGTCGGCGCCGATAGGAGTGCGATCGATGATTTCGACCTCGGTGGTTGTGTCTGCGTTGCCTGCACCGTTGTTCTTGGTAGCCTCGTTGGCGCCAACAGCATTAGGTGGTGTAGGGCCAATCTTCTTGAACTTGGCGACAAAGAAACCGTCGACATTGTAAGTGTGAGGGTAGTACCTCCTGGTCATCTATCGAGATGTTAGTATAAGTCATTCAAGTCTTCCTGAAACCCGCATAAATCTTACCTTCATCGACGGATGGAAAGTCTTGCCCCCAATCCTTGTGAAACCCTCCTTACCAAAAGTAAGGCCAGTCTCAACAAGCTTGACATTTGGCCTCTTGTTGAGCGCATATTGCACAACCTGCTCGTTTTCCTCGACAGTAACGGAACAAGTACTGTACACAATATAACCGCCAGTCTTGGAGTGATGGTTAACAGAGTCGATGGCAGCAAGTAGCAGTTGCTTCTGTAGATGAGGCAGCTTCATGAAATCGGCCTCGGTCTTATTGGTCTTGACACTGGCATCCTTGGCGATAACACCAGTACCCGAGCAAGGCGCATCGAGCAACACACGGTCAAAGCCACTCATGACTCTGGGGAACTCCAAAGCCGAGTAGTGGGATACAATTACGTTCCTCGCACCCAGACGGTGGATGTTTCCTATCAGACCCTTGGCACGGTCTTTGTTGGCATCGTTGGCGAAGATGCATCCTGTATTCTTCATGAGTGCTGCCAAATGCGTTGTTTTACCACCGGGAGCAGCAGCCATCTAGTTCAGATAGTATCAGTATCAAGTTTCAAAGTAGAAATTTCAATGCTACTCACATCTAGTACTCGCTCATTCTCCTGTGGGGCAAGAGCCATAACGGGCAAGAACGAGGAAGCAGCCTGTAGAATGTAGTGTCCAGCGAGATATTCCGGAGTAGCACCCAGTGGTACTTGTGCGTCGAAGATTTGAAGTCCGACCTTTGACCACTTGCCGACAGGCTCAAGCTGCACACCACGGTTGATGAGTGCTTGCGCGAGGTCTCTTCGGTGAGTGCGGAGGGTGTTGGTACGGATGACAATGGGTCTTGGAGTTTCGTTGGCCTCGAAGAAAGCTTGAGCTTCGCGAGGCGGGAAAAGGCTCAGAAGCTTGTCTGCTAGGAACTCGGAGTAGCCTAAATCAAGTCAGCTTGAAACTTGCTACTACACCAGCTCTTGTGTATTTGCAACATACCGTAGTAAGCGCAGATATCCTTGAGAAGCGACGCCCTGTACTCTGCCCTGCTTCGGCCCTCCTCAGCCAGATTCTTGAAATCATCCAAAACACGAATAGTGTCGGTCAATCTTGTCCTCAGCAATTGGATGTCCTGGTTGACGAGGTTCGTGATCGGCCTGCCATCTTCGTCCTCCTCGTCCTCAAGAATCTTCGGCCTCTCACCAACAATGTTGGTCTGCATATTCTCTTCCAATTCAGCTTGCGCCTCGGCCTCTTCAATCGCTTTTTGCTCATCCAGCTTCCTGGACAATCCAGCGATGTTAGCTGCCGTAAGCTTCTCCTCGGCATCCGACTCGTCTTCGTCTTCCGACCACATCGCAGCGCCCTTCCTGATGTCGGTATCTGAGTCTACAATATCCGAATCGAATTCGTCTTCGTCGATTGACTCTTCGCCTTCAGACGCGCTACCGAGCGCATCGAGCCCGGTAACGTTAATATCGGAATCATCCATCATTTCAGAGTCGTCTTCGGAAAGATCCTCGTCGTCTTCGTCATCGGACGGTCGAGGCGGAGCAGCCTTTGCGGCCTTTGCTTTGGCCTTTGCTCCATTGACAATAGCAGCAGCTGTCTTTACGGGCTTTCCAGCGACTCTTGTCTTTGGTTGAGCCTTCGCCTTGGCCTCTCTAGCTTCCCTCGCAGCTGTCCTACTTCTCTTCTTGCGCTCTGGTTCGGCAGGCGCAGGCGCATCTTTGCGCTTCCTCGTTACCAGCGATTCGTCGAGGGGCTCAGGAATACCCTGCTTCTTCATACGGCGACCTTGACCCATGGCGACCGATGTTGTACGGAAATCCTTGGGTGGAACAAAAAAAAGAGTGATGGTTGTTGAAGAATTGGCAGAACCGACGCCTGCGCGAACTTTGGAACTTTCGTTGCTAGATTTTGGGGAACTTTTTCCACGCTAGCGGACCTCCTTCGGGTTAGCGCGATTTGGCCCTGGTTCCAGCCCACTGTCCCGCATCTCTCCAAACAGCGTCATCGGACTGGAGCTGTTCGCAACAACTTACACGGAGCATCCCGTTGTTTACACTACAGACGCTGCTCCGGATACCTGGAAGGATATCGCATTAACAGCGCCCAAATCAGTAAACACGATCGTAGCCCGCCATGTCGGAATTCGCATTCTGCAAGTCGTTTCTGAGCGCCCTCGACGCGCGCCCAGTAAAGCTCTCCTCAGACCACATTGCAGACGCGCGACAGTACCCCGCGCAGGGCGCTGTATGTTCTACCAAATCCTCATATATCTGTTTCCCAACTAATCCGTTCATATAGTATACGCTCCCCCGCCTCCCACACCCACCCCACCCACAACGCCCAAACCCCAAGTCTACAGACAGCGCCGATGCCTCTACATCTGCCTCGACCATCACAGTAACTCTAAAACCCATGAAGCCTTCGACGCCTACAATCCCTCTCTCCGCTATCGACCCTTCCAAAACCTCCGTGTACGACCTGAAGCAGCAGTATGCGACGCAGGCCTCGTTATCAGCAGCCAAGATCAAGATCCTATATAAAAAGAAGCCCGTCACAGATTCAAAGACTCTGAAAGAGGTGATAGGCACTGATGCTGGTACGGAGGTCGAGTTTGGTGTCATGGTGATGGCAGGTGCTGCGGCAGCTTCAGGTAGCCCCGCAGCAGGAGGCACCCCTGTGACAAGCCCCCCTGCTGTTGCGCCGCCGACAGAGAGTGAGAAAGGCCTGGCCAGCGCTGGGGAGTCATCCGCCGGGGCCTCCGTAGCTGCAGGAGCCGTAAGTGGGAAGGACATTGTCGCTACTGACGAGTTCTGGGGAGATCTTAAGACCTTCATATTACAACGGACCAAGGACGCAGAAGAGGGTGAGAGGCTAGTTGGTGTATTCAAGGCCGCTTGGGAGCAAAACAAGTAATTAGCATTTCTGAGCAGCTGGTTCACATGCACCTTGAAGAAATGAAGCAGATGACCAGGCTATCACGTCACGTTATCCAAAACAAAGATACCAAAGACACCTTCATCAAATACGACTTGACCAGGTTTTAGCCCGTCGAAAGCATGCCACGCCTAACAATTCAAAACAAAGCCCAGCAATGCTACTGCACGCAAAATCGTCGCTTTAATCATTTTCATTCCGTTGCTGAGAAGTCGCTATGACATGACACGCTACCAAATTAATCACTCGACTTTATATCTTCATGCCATTCCAACTCACGGCGTCCTCCCGTGGTGGGTTGCGCAGGTCCAACGCGGCTGGCCAGACGAAGAGGCCCTTAGCGGCCCTTGGAGACACGGCTCTTGATGTTCTCAAACTCGAGGTCGTCGGCGTCGTTGGCTTGGATGTCGGCAGCGAGACCGTTGAGAGAGCGCTTGATGGCTTCCTTGGAGGACGAGTACATCATGCGGGGCTGTATGCAGCGTTAGTTGAGACTCTCATGTCAACCCCGTCGCCGTCCAGATTATTACGTACGTATTGTGGCGCATCATCGGGCGTCCAGCTGATAAAGGTGATCTTGCTCCTTGATCCCTCACCACTCTCAAGCTCATATTCGACATCGAAGACAGCGTAGCGACCGCCAATGCCCTCCTTGCCCTTGCGGTCCTTGCTCTTGGCGTTGAGAAGCTTCTCGCGGAATACGTCAAAGTTGGCCTCCTTGGAAGTCTCTTCGACGACAATCTCCTTCCAGTCGTCGCTGATCTTGTAGATGATCCACTTGATATCCTTGCCGAGCTTGAGCTCGTTGAAGGTGCTAATGCACTCGGGAGAGACGGAGACACTGTGACGGTATTAGTACCAAGAGAGCTGGTCGTTTGGAGGGCGCGCTAGGGTATTGGGGAGATTGATATGAAGGTAAGGTTGCGCGTGTGAGGGTCGGGCGGCGACTGCCGTTCATGTGGTGTGTTGTCTACAGGCGATCACTACGTACCCGGATTGAGCCTGCAAATCCAGTCAGCGCGAGTTGTTGTGTGAACAATGTGCACAAGCCTTACCATGATGTTGTGTGTGAAGTGTCGAGGATGTGAAAGGGGAGTTCAAGACACCAGGCAGCTTTATCAGTACTGTGTTGCCTGTCAGCTTCGTCATCATGGACTGCGATTGCCGTAGCACAACTAGGCAACAAAAAGCGGCAGTCGGGCTGTTTGGAGGAGGCGGGTGCAGCTTACTTCAATGGAGAGAACTGATTGTTATGGATGGCGTGTTTGCGGGAGGGAGGGCGGAGGTGGAGGAGCGGTGTTGCTGAGGCTGATGAGGCAAGTAGTGGGGTTATTTTCCAAGCGACGTACCTAGTGGGGTCACTCTCCTCGACCGGTTTATTTGCCTGCGCCGCGCCGCCACAGCAACCGACCGTCGGCCTAAACCCCGGTCACCACATCCACTCTCTGCTGCCCAATGTCAACACATCAAAACATTCAAGTGGTACATGTCTTTGAACTGGTTCACATTTCCTTCGTCGCTTTTTACATCTCGCCCTTCCCAGGACGTCTTCTAGATACACAGTATTGTACAAAAAAACATCAAATAACCAATATGCCGTGCTTTTGAGAAAAAAACCGTGACTGAGGAGCGGAGACCAACTCAATATCGTGTACATAAGCCATCACTGGGAGAGACGTAAGACTAAAGTCATAATAACGAAATGGGGGTATAAGAAGAAGAAAATAGACGGTCAGGCTTCAGCTGCTTAGAAACCCATTCCACCCATTCCGCCCATTCCTCCCATACCGCCAGGCATGCCGCCTGGAGGACCGGCCTTCTCCTCGGGTGCCTCGACAATGGCAACCTCAGTGGTACCGAGGAGTGAGGCAACACCGCTGGCATCGACAAGGGCAGTGCGGACAACCTTGAAGGGGTCCAGAATACCAGCAGCAATCATGTCGACGTACTCGCCCTTGGCGCTGTTGAATCCCTTGTTGAAGTCGTTCTTGTGTTCGTCGATGAGCTTGCCGACAATGACAGAGCCCTCAGCACCGGCGTTCTCGACGATCTTGCGGGCAGGGTGGGTAATAGCGTTCTTGACAATGGTTATGCCAAGTTGCTGGTCGAAGTTATGCGCCTTGACCGAGTCGAGAGCGTTGGCGGAAGCCTTGAGGAGACCGGTACCACCACCAGGCAGAATTCCCTCCTCGACAGCGGCACGGGTGGCATTGAGGGCGTCAACGATGCGGTCCTTCTTCTCGCCAACCTCAACCTCGGAGGAGCCACCGACCTTGATGACGGCAACACCACCAGAGAGCTTGGCAAGACGCTCCTGCAGCTTCTCCTTCTCGTACTCGGATGTGGTCGGGTCGTTGATGACACCACGGATCTGCTCACAACGCTGCGAGACCTGGTCCTTGCTGCCCTCACCGTTCAGAATGACAGTGTCCTCCTTGGTGATGGTGATGGACCCGGTAGAACCCAGCATATCCGGAGTAGCCTTCTCGAGCTTGATGTCAAGATCGTCGCTGAAGACAGTACCGTTGGTCAAGACAGCAAGATCGCCAAGGATGGACTTCCTGTTGTCACCGAAACCAGGGGCCTTGACAGCGGCAACTTGAAGCTGACCACGGAGCTTGTTGAGGATGCAGACAGCAAGCGCTTCGCCGTCAATGTCCTCAGCAATGATAACAAGAGGGCGGCGGAGCTGCTGGGAAGCCTCAAGCGCGGGGACAATGTCCTGGACAGCAGAAATCTTCTTCTCGGAAAGGAGGATGAGAGGCTTCTCAAACTCAACCTTGGCAGTCTTGGTGTCGGTGATGAAGTAAGGGGAGATGTAACCACGGTCGAACTTCATACCCTCGGTGACCTCCAGCTCATCCTCGGTAGTCTTACCCTCCTTGACGGTGATGACACCCTCCTTTCCAACCTTCTCCATTGCGTTGGACAGGAGCTTGCCAATGTGTGTGTCACCATTGGCAGAGATAGTGGCGACCTGTGCAATCTCCTCGCTGGTGGTAATGTCCCTCTTGTTTGCCTTGAGGTAGTCGACAACGGCCTCGACGGCGGCCTGAGTACCCCGCCTCAGGTCCATTGGGTTGCATCCGGCGGCAACGTTCTTAACAGTCTCGGAGAAGATGGCGCGGGCAAGGACGGTAGCGGTAGTGGTCCCGTCACCAGCAGCTTCGTTGGTCTTGCTGGCAACATCCTGAAGCAGGCGGGCTCCAAGGTTTTCGAACTTGTCTTGGAGGGTAATGGCCTTTGCGACAGTTACACCATCTGAAGCTTTGTCAGCGGACAATTTGGGAAAAGACGACTAAACATGTGCATACCCTTGGTAATCTTGGGAGAGCCATAGCTTGACTCAATCAATACGTTGCGACCCTTGGGACCGAGTGTTGTTGACACGGCCTTTGCCAGTGTGTCGACACCCTTGAGCAGTCCTGCTCGTGCCTCGACGCCAAACTTAAGCTCCTGTACGTGAATTAGTTTCTGCTAGTCAATTGAAAAGTACGTATAGCGACAATATACCTTGTGCGCAAATCTCTGTTGCTGGAGGCTCAAGCTGGTCGTGCGAAGCTTAGAGGTCGAATTTAGGGCCGAAGTCCGCGCCCGCGAAGCGAAAGCTCTTTGCATTGTGACGGAATTGAGATATGTAGGTGGCGGTGGTGAAGCTCAAACAATGCTCCTAGACTCCAGCTCAATGCAAGGTAACCGAGAAGAGAGATTGGGTGCAGAGGAGGATTGTGGAGAAGAAATGGACGCTGCCATATGTGTAGAAAATTCCAAGGAATCATCGAGAAGTCGGCGCTCGGACCACATCACCACTAGCCTCGGCTTTAACACCTTCACTCCGCCTACAGCCTCACATTGCCCTTCACCACTTCTCAAGAATTGATGCAATTGAGTAAAGTAACTGCTTGTATCCAGTATAGACGTCTTGAACTCGGAATCATTATACATGCTGCTGCCTTAGCATACGGGTATGCTACCACCTTCCGACTCAACAACAACATATCGCGTTTGATCGACTTCAAGCTGGTGCCGAACTTAGAAAAAACTTCTCGCTGGTCAGATCTTAGGCGCACTGCCCTGTGAAACTTCTCTACCACTTTCCTGTCTCTCTGCTCTGATAAACTTCACTATTAAGCGCCTTAGATTTTCCTCGTACCCTCTGCCTAGCTCTTTCAGCCTTGCGTTATTTGGTTCTACAATAGCCATTCCTGTTCTGAAGGCTTCATCTAATATGCTTTCCTCGGTTTCCCTAGATTCATTTTATCTTTCTCCTTTCTCTTGAGATGTGTAACGTGAGTATATTTCCTGCATACGCCACTATAGTTTGCCTTTCATCATACCTCTCCAGCTCAAGGCTACGTCAGCAACTTCGTTTCCGGAGACCACATAATATTTTACCAATCTTCCGTATTCAAGAGCATACAAAAACTCGGGGGCGAGAACTCTTAGTGTCATCCAGTGCGTATCGCCAGAAAAGACTCTTTGCTTTTGTTATCGTTGGCTGCTCAACCATGCAGGACTCTTCTGTATTTTCTGGCGCATCGGGAGCTTAAGCAAAGGATATACGGACTTGTATAAATATTGGCCTTGAGTGATATGGGTTCATAGTCGCTATGAACAACTTCTTCAGGTTGTGTAGCTTTTGCTCGGGCTTTGGTGCATCGGTATCTTCCTGGGTGTGGTTCTTCCGCGGATCGCCTCGACAACCATGCGGCATATCAATGCATCCCCATTCCATAATTTGCTTTACCTTTGTGGTATTTTAAATTCATATCCTCTAAGAATCCTTCAAGTATCATTCGATTCGGTGATGGACAAGCAACAGTTTCGCAATACCAGTCATGGAATTTGTTCCGATACATCTATACTCTAGGCATCTTATTTCGCCATAGAAAAAGCGTCGCTTGCAAGTGATTGGGAAATGCATGCGGCTACACCATGTATAAAATGGTGACCAATAGTGATATTGTGCACTACACCATTCGTAACAGGCAAAAAGGCAAACTAAACCGGTCAGCCGTGGCGTCTCAGCTGAACGACAGTTTCTCCGCTTTGTACGAAACCCATCATGCAAAATCGCGCAATCGCCACTCACAGATGTGATGCATCTTGCATGGGAAATGCGCCTTTGCGTCCTCCTCAGAGCAGTTGTACGCATCTTCGGATACCTTCTGGATGAGTCATGAGGCTGAGGCTGAGGCCGCTCATACGTAGAAGCATAAAGTTTCGTCTTCAGCCTTCCACTCGCAGAGTTGAGAAGAAGCACGTTGAAGATACTCAGCCGCAGCTGTCAGCCTATCGCCCGGGTTCACGAGACCGGGTGCATCACAAGCACCACGGATTTATTCTGCCTGAACGTGCGCCACGATCAACCCACAAGAAAGGAAAAACATCCAGATGCCACCATTTCGTCGAGCTGCTGACCCGGAGTTGGAGCGCGCGAGGCAAGCTCAACGCAAGCCTAGGCTTCCATCCGCAAAATGGAGCGGCCGAGTCCAAGAAACGTTTACCGCATATGACGATTTTGGATGGGACAAGATTGAAGAATACTTGAAAACCAAATGGCCGAACTGGGATTTCAAACCAAGAGTTGTATGTTGTGTCTGGACAGTAGGTTGAAAGACACCGGACTGATAAGCCTCCCAGTTCAATGGCAACTGGCTATTCGAGGTGCCCGAGAAGCTGACCGAGGTGATTCTGTTTTCTAGTATTCGCGAGCGCGTGGCTAATTTGGTTTCAGGGGGAGAAGAGAGAGCTGAGGAAGCGAAGAGATGTGTCCGGGCGGACGCGATCGCCCTCTGTGTCACCAGAGCCAGAGGAACGAAAGCCCCAACAAGAACAAGGCCGAGTCTCATCTTCATAGTATGATTCAAAATGTCGGCGCCTGGCGTTTAGTTGATAGTATCCATGTGATGCAGTTGCTTGCATCTTGTGTATCAGTAGCAGCTTTGGCACCAGTGAGGAGGTCGCCTCAGGTGCACGGGGGCGGGGTCTTGCATTCCCCTAGAACGCCTTCCCTGATGTAAACTACACGCCACAAGGCAGATTTGCTGCGCCTCCCTGAGGCCACATCATCCCTCTTAAAATACCATGTCCTTCTCTCATACCTTTCTGTTGATAATCATAATTCATAGTTGCGTATCTTTGCGCTAGTGTTAAATAGGCATACAATGTACCCATTACCGGTGGAACTGCAGGAATCATATCTTGACAGCGCCAATTATCCAGAGAACCTCATTCCAAGCGGCATCGCAACATACAAGTCGAAACTTGTCTCATACAAGGAACGCTTGGACGATGCTGAGGTCGATCTTTGCCTTGGTTCCACTGAGGACGAAGTTGAAAAAGTCTTTGAAATTCCCGTTATTGACTTGGACACCAGTGATGGGAAAGGTAATTTGCCTTTCGAATCGCTTGAAAGGTTGCTAAAAAATACAGGGCGGGATAAGAGAAACATACATAGTCCAGCAAAACTCACTGAATGGCTCGGTGTCACCACTGCGCAGAACCCGAACGATGCCAACACGCAGCTACTTATGGCGCGAAAGAAAGATCCAAAATGCAGGTTCATGTAAGTCCACTATGTAATAGTCTCAAATCCCATGCTGACAGCATAGATATCTGTATGGACAACATTCGCGCGATAAACTGAAGACAACACGTGAAAGCCTTTGTCAACTCCTGTCATATCATCAAGTCATGCCCGTGTATTTGGATTTCATGCTCGTCTTTGGTGGACAGACTGACGCCATCGATCCTCGGTTTAGTGGTTTTCGGGAGCAAATACGCCTCAGAAATCCAAGAAGTGGACACGGAGTTCCTGAGCTAAATCGAAGCGGCAAGCTTTTCCAACTTAGCTACAACTTGAAGGGTGTACACCTCAAGAAGCGAGATCATGAGAACATCAAGCTCAACGTATGGTCGATTCGAGATGCCGCAATCTATCATAAATTCGATGTCGAATACGGCACTACGCTCTGGATTGTTACGAAGGGCGGGAAAGACATTTTGGAGCGTTATGCAGATCTGACCAAACCAGACGGCCGACCAGAGGATATAAAGTATGACAATCCGACAGCATGCTTCCGGTCGACCCTTGTGACGCATTTACTCTATTGCCACTGGGCAACCGAAGACTGGAGATGGTACATAGTATGGCTTGAGAGAGTGATCCATCAAGAAGTAAGTGCTCTCATTCACGTGTATTTATAAGCTGACGTTGAGAAACACAGAGTGGGATGGCCGTGAACGGCCTTCGTAGGGAGGAGTGTGCTTATGAGATCTACGAGCCACAAGACATACAGGATTTGCAACATTGGCAAGATGAGGCCAATGCAGTAGTAATGGTTCTGGAGTCCAACGCCAAAATTGTGGGTGCTCTACGCAGCTTCTACAAGAACCTGGTTTCCCGAGAAGACTTTCCCAGCGCGTTAAAAACAAACTGCGAGGATCATTTGCATGCCTTCTTTTCGCAACTGGATGAGATTATGGGAGACTTTGACATGCAACTAACCCGAGCAAAACTTCTCGTGAAGATAATAAGTGACCGAAAAGAGCTGGTGTTACAGCATCTACACCGTCAAGCTTCAGACCGGACTGAACAGTTGAACAAGAACCTTGAACGGGAAGCTGTTGTTATGCGAATCATTACCATCGTTACGCTGTTATACCTGCCAGCGACATTCGTATCAGTAAGCCTGAAATGACCTTTTGACTCCTTTCTCTTTCTAACCCACCACAGACATTTTTCAGCACCGATGTCATCAAATATCAAGATCAAGATCAGAATGCTGGCAGCTCCGAAAACAGTTCTTTCTCTAGCCTTGCTTTGGAGCGTTGGCTTCAGGTCACCATACCTCTGACTTTCCTAACTTTGTTGGGAGCTTGGTCGACTTATCGTTTCTTCAACAGTACCGTGGAACATTTCACGTTCTTTGAGAGGCTAAAACACATCGTCCCTGGCCTGACGTCATCGGCGAGTGTTTCTCTAGCGTCCGGAACAGCCCAAGGCTACTCTGATGCCAATACTCGAAAAGACGCATCCAAGCGCTTGGTCAGTTCTACGAAGAGGCTTGCTCGGATCATACGATGGTTTCGTACTGACCGCGCCACTTTACCGTCATACAAGCCAACAGCGCCAAAAACAGGCTGATGCTGAGGTAGATGGGTAATCCTTCTAGTGTTCTATCTTCTGTTTAAGTTTTGTAATTAGAGCATCGCCATATTCATTTTGATCAGAATGGTCCAACACAGTACGGGGAAGAGGCGTGCACTGCCATCAAGTAACACCTAGGATCCCAGTGGAGGCTTTTTTAGTTAGAGTTCGAGGCCGACACGGCCGGAGCGGGAGGCCATCCTTCGAGTTACCAAGCGGGGTCATGAGCGCTTAGCGAAGAAGCGTTCACTGACGCAGCCTGGTCGATCAACATGTCACTCCTGAAGATGACCAGCTTACACCATCCGCCTACCAGACGATGCAACACCATATCGCAGCTTTTTTCAGAAACGCGATCTCACTTTTCTTGTTGTATTTATCATTAATCTCTCGATTACACATACTGCTTGATGAACAACTTGTGGCGGCGGAGCGAAAGCTCAGCCTTGCTGCCTTGTCGCAGTAATCAGCTTGCTGCAGCCACCAAAGTCCTCCGTGGCACTATTGGTGCAATCATTAATCTGGATCTGCCCCAAGCTGCGCATGTCCTCAATCATATGGCTCTAATAGCCAGGCACCCCACCCACAAAACTGAGGCTCCAACAACCACTGCCCGTTGCTTGTCACCTCCTTACCACTGGCTTGTCACCAAGCTCATACTTTGCGCAACCGCCCCGACAACTTCGATCCAATCACGCTGCGCATATATTCCAACTTTTTCATATCGAACACCAATTCTGTACTTCTTTTTGCCCGCTACTCCATGACGTTGTTGCCAGCCTGATCGCTGGTTGGAACCACGTCAGAATGCCAGCCGTATCTCAAGAACAGAAACGTCGTCAACGTATTGAAGATGAATTCAAATACCTCTTACAATCAGCATGGACCCGTCCAGTTGCTTGCCAGAACGAGTGCCAGCCTCCACACAAGTGCAGTTGCCGGCGCAAAATTGTACACGTGTATGCGCTCGAAAGATGGTGGATCGAGCACCACCCAGAGAGCCCCGAACAGACCAGAGGGCATCGATTTTTGGATGAAACGCCTCCAGCGCCTCATCGAACCTTCCAGGTCAGGTATCAGAATATCTTTACTGGCGACCAGTCCTGCCGCCGTGTCCTTAGCTTGCTTCTCGAACAAGGCTATCACCATCTCATTGACCGTTTCTACCGCGCAGATGTTAACGACAGATACCTTATGCGCAGCCAAGACGATCAAAATCTCCGCGAAAGCTTACTTGAAGTTCATTCACGAAAGGAAGTCGATCGTATCATCCAAGATTTTCACAGAGACAAATGGGCATACTGCCCGTTGAACTTGACCTTGGACATGGACGTCAATCTTCATGGAACGAAGGTCATACTGCCTTTCTGTGACAAGATTAAGCTTCCAGAAAAGGGTGGAACTGCTTCAATATACTGGGTGGCCGTGCAAAAAGATCTAATTACAGATACCGCCCTAACAGATGCTCTACAAAAGTCACTTTACAAAGACGACGAGTTCGGAGAGGTAAGCTTCCCAGTCAGAACACCGTTAAGGCATATACTAAACGATACTTAGTGCTATCAGATGGTTCTCAAATCGTATTGTGGAAACAAAAAGAGAGATTTCGAGTTAGAAAAGGAAGCCTTCTCTGGCCTCGACTCGAAGAAAGACGTACCGATATTACGATGTCTAGGTTCCTACACTCATGATTATGGTGAAGGCAAAGATATGGGAAAGACCTATAACCTGTTGCTAGAGTATGGGGATCATGATCTTTACCAGGCATGGGCGGATGAGACCAATGTTCCTCCTGTGAGAGCTCAGGAGATTCTCCGTACATGGGACTCACTCTTTGAGATTGCCAAGGCCATTCGTCACGTACACCACCTTGAAGTTCCACGAGGTGGTACGAGCGAACCACGGAGATTCCATGGGTATGTACCAGAAAGAAACTTTTCGAGAGCCCAAACTAAAAACAATCAGCTGGCACGCAGACATTAAGCCCGATAACATTCTCAGCATACGAAAGAAGTTGAAACTAGCCGATTTCGGGTTTTCGAGTTTTGCTCCAGTCATTGAGGGACATGATGGCTCAGTCCCAACAGAACTGATCAGGGGGTTCACTGATACTTACGGTAAGTCAGGAGAATGGCGAATACGTGGGTGTATTTTCTGAGATTCCTTAGGCGCTCCTGAAGTATTCCGTATGAGAAACCCAGATGGAACTTCTTCAGGTGTCTCCCAGTCAATCGACACCTGGTCATTCGGCTGTGTTCTATCCGTGGCTGCAACCTGGATAGTTTTAGGGTTCCAGGGAATACGCCAATATGAACAGCTCCGACAACTTGCTCCTGCAAACTGCAAGAACGGGGAAACCCACGATCGATTTCACGACGGCTTCAATGTTCTTCCGGAGATAAGAAAGTGGCATGATTACCTTAGAGGACACCTCCGCTCTTCAGACACCACCACGGAGCTAGTGTTGGTGTTAATAGAGAATGAGCTACTTCAGGCAGACTTGAAGAAGAGGCCTGACTCTGAGGAACTTTGCAAAAAGCTACAAGAAATACACACTTCGGCAGAGAAAGAAATTTCACGTCTGAAAGGACACTCAAAAGAGACTGACGCTGTAGTGCTCAAGGCACTTTCCGAGATTGAAGACAAAGCCCGAATCCAGAGGGTCTCAGAAACGAAGATGAAATCCTCTCAACAGGAACCAGTACCAGCAGGCGCCAGTCAGATCAATCCTCGACAATGGGCATCAATGCAGATCCGCAAAGAGGAGATGATCAAGAGCAAGCCTCTGGGTCAAACCCCTTACCGCAAGGAGATTCTAAGGCAAGAACTAAAAGCGAGCAGCCGCAGTCTCCCCGAAAATAAAGAAAATATGCTTGAAGTTCACAATGGCGCCGTCACTGAGAGTCCTGTTGATAACGCGGATCTGTATGAGCAGCCATTTGGTGGTCGCTCTAAGAAGCCCAGAAACCCTGATCTACTGGAGAGTGACCAGCAAAAGTCCGACACACAACGCAATACGGCAGACAGTGAACCCGATGGGCTGATAATCACTCCTTCTACACCAACGCCAACTCAGCGGCAAAACACGATTCACGATCAAAACACATTCGTTCTTGACGTAACTGCACCTACAACGGAGCCCTTTGGTGCACACGGCAATCCGAATTCACGCCAATCAAACAGAGTGATGGAAAATGCATCCGAACCCGCTTTTAAAGAATTTTCTAGTTCGACTGGAGAATCAGCGTCCGTCACTCCTCCACGTCCGCAGATCAATACGCATGTTGCTCCTCTATCTCCACCTTACACACCTGGATTCACAGCTCCTGTCAACACCAGGCATCTGGAATTTTCGCCTCTAGAATACTATTCGCAGACGCATGGTAATATGCAGAGCAGCTTCCCAAGACCGACAACTTCGAGCACCATAAATTCTGCCTATGGCGACAAACAGGTGTACGAGCCAACGAGCACCTCAACGCTTCACGTAAATGACGTCACAAGCTTCGGCGCAACACACCCCTTAGGAATTATCGGCTCTCCTACGGGGAATGAGCACACGAGGGCGCGTTATCCGAGCGAACATTCTAATGGAAATCACGCTGTGAGAAGTCCACGCACAACTATGTCGCATGAGACGGCAGACTTTGGTGGAGAACTACCAACATCCGTACTGAACCTACCATACAGCATATGTGACAGAAGAAAAAGACTAGAAAACGAAAAGCTGAGCGGGTTTGCAAGGATGGCAAGCATAATGGGTAGAGAAACTAGGAGGCCAGATCCTAACCTAAGGGACATATCCAAAGATCGTCGTGAACTGGTAAGGCTACTCAAATTCTCCTCAATTACAGTGACTAATGTGTGTCAGGTCTTCGTCATCGATAACGGCTGGACGATGTTCGATCACTGGCCAATCCTGACCTTTGTCGTCGAAACCCTGGCAATGAACGCTGCAGGTATCGACAAAAGCGGCATCGACCTCCGCTTCACTGTAGAGGGATCTCGACACAACGCAAATAACATTGTAGGAGATACCGGGCGGAGGTTACTAAAAGAAAAGCTGCAAAAAGCCTGGCCCGAACGCAATCCAAAACCCAGCGCAACAACCGACATGACCGCCATCCTCCAAAACATCTACAAAGAATGGCACCGCAACCGCCGGCCAGCAACAACCCTCTACGTCTTCACCGACGGCAAATGGTCCACTGAAGACCTCACCGCCCTCCGCCATGTTGCCAAAAACCCAAACTCCCCCCACGAAATCATCCGCAACCCGCCGCCCCTACACAAAGCCATCATGGCCTTCGCCGAACAAGACCGCCAACAAACCGGCCACCGCCACTTCAGCATCCAATTCATCCGCTTCGGCGACGATCCGCCCGATAAAGAGCACCTCCAATGGCTCGATGACTACTTGTGTGAAAGCCATAAGTACCGCGACATCATTGACCATTGCACCTGGCGCGCTCCCGTCGACAAAATCTTCAAAGGAAGCATCGAGGGGTTCCACGATGAGAAAGAGGCAAAAGAGCCGCCGGTGCTTTACGATTATAAGCAGCTTGTCGAGAAGTTTCATCTGTTTAATCGCGGTGAGGGGGATGGCGGTGCGGACGCGCAGCAGAATGAAGCGGTTTCGTCGCCGTTGACGCGGATGGGGACGCATAGGTCGAATGTTTCGACTTCGTCGCCCAGAACGAGGTTTTCGATGTTTTCTTCCTAATTTCACTTCTTTTCTTTTCTTTTCTTTTTTGCCCAACACGGTTCTGGTGCATATTGTTTGACGTGTGTATATGCACCGTAGTGACTTTCGGCTTTTTTTTCTCGCTTTTCTTTTCTTCTCATTCATATCTCTCACTTGGATTTATATTAAGATACCCACAGGAAGAAAAACCCTGTATTTTCTTCTGACATTGTATTTGCGGCATTATACCCATGGACTGGCGTTTTTTTTTGATTAGATTTTGATTTATTCTAATTGTATTCGATACGGATACGTAATTGTCCAGGTTCGGGCTTTTTGAGTAACCATAGATATATACATTCCATATTTTTAGTGCCCGGGGGAGGAACTTGTTGTTATTCATAGTTGAAAGATGGAAAGTATGAGATGATAGACGGCAGCATGTGTAACGATAGTGTAACGAACTAGACTTGTAATCAATCAATAGAGGGATGCTTATGCTTCCAAGTACCTCAACACACTTTACATCCAGCATTGATTTTTTTCTGATTTCATATTTCTTAGTTTAGAGTGGAGTGTTACTCAGATAGATATGCTGTACTCTTTAACAGTTAATAGCTTTTCCATATCAAGAAACAAGTTACGTTTTCAGTCATGAAACCTATCATTTCAATATAATGTACAATTGAGGTTGATAGTCCTACACTAGAAGAAGAAGAGGGGAGAAACTCTTATTGTAAAGACAGTTTGATTAACAGAGTAAGCTTAGTTGTGATTCATCAACCTCCGTCTCCAACGCCAACGAACCAGACGCTCTCCCTCGTATCTAATCCTCGGTCTCTCAATCTTCTTCACGCCTTCTCTTAAAAATCGGTTCTTTCTCAAGGCTATCCACGATTCACCTGTATATGGCGACGCAGCATACTTGCGGGCAAGCGGTAAGGGTCTCATGCGAACAGTAGGCGTGGTCTCGCGGAAGAGTCGACGCAAAAGCTGTTTGGTTTGTCTTGAAACAACTGGCTTTGCTGGAATATAAGCTTGGACAGGACGAATGGGTATCGCAGCTTTGATTGGAGGAGGGATAAATTGGTGGCTTCTGAGGCGAGTGGGCCTACGACGAGTCACTCGGCCAGGTACACGCATCAAAGATGCAATTACTCCTCTGAAGGGTGGTTGAGAAGTTGCTTCATTAGACAAAAGTTCAATTGGTTTCTCACCTTCGGACTGAGCTGAAGGTTCAGACACTGAAGTTGCACTGAGGCTCGGGGTTGTCGCTAATCCAGTTACTTCGCCGCTTCCGGTTGGGTTCGCTTTTTCAGTTCTTAAGTCCAGCCGCCGCCAAGCAGGTTTTTCTCCGTCAGTTTGGTCATTCAATTTCGCTCGTGTACCAGTTTTACGATTATGTTGTCGTGTCTCCCTCGAACTTGGGGTTCCGCCGGATGTATTTGTAGGCGGAGGAGCCGAAGTAGGTGTCCGAACTGTCGTGTAGACAGTACCTTTTACAGCAACGCCACCTGTTGGACCTTCGATCCATAAGTCGTATATGCTTCCATTTTGCAGTGTCTTCTTCTCCATTCCACAAATGCGCATTTCCTCGTCACAATACAATGGCGCAAGATTACGATATTCAACAGACTCCACAACCTGTTCTCCCTTGATATGCGTTTCCAGATGATTGTTCATGAGTTGCAGCATGAGCGTCAGGGAGAGGGGTCCATGGACCAGGAGATTGCGGTGACCTTCAACATTACGAGCGTAGTCGGGATCAAGGTGAATGAGATGAGCATTGAAAGTGAGAGCAGAGAAACGGAACAGAAGTGCACGATTGGGAGTGAGGGTATGGGAGAAGAGAGGATCGCCGGGAGCTATAAGTAGTCAGCAAGCAGCTCACACAGCTGGTCAGAGTACGCACGATCTAGATATTTGATAGAGGCCATCTGGCCCGCCTTGATAGCGTCGAGTTCTGCAGCACTGCGTTCCTTGAAGAAGACCAGGTTGCGCTCTTCTTTGAGAACGGTATTGCCCCAGGCTTCGTCATTGCTTAGTTGGTCCTCGAAGTAGCTTTGAATTTTTCGCAACCCGGTGGCTCTGCCCAACGATCCGTGGAGCGCTCTGTAGCTTTCTTGTAGGGCGTCTAGTCTTGCAAAGCGGCGCTCAATGGTGACAAAGATCTTGGCGGTATCGTCCTGCCCGTGCAGTCGGACATGCTTGATATGCTCGATACCAGCCATGGGCGTGTCTACGGCGAAGCCTCGAAACTTATCAAAGTAATCGCTCGGCTTTGCCTGTATTGAGCCTCCTGCCCACATGCGTCGCACCCAAGGACCGCCTGGTGAATGGGATGCGTCTGTTCCATCCGGAAGTAGATCATGAGTAGGCAGCGATGGATTGAACCATATCAAATGGTGGCCAAAAGGAATTATTTGATTTCGCCTGCCTGGAGCATGACAGAAATCTCGGGGTAGGAAACCAGTCAGCGTCTGCGAGAGTTTGTATTCGGGTGGAGCGGTCAAATGCTCAGGCAGATGGGTCGCGCCCCGCTGCAGCATTTGAGTGCGCAGCTCCTGGAACCATTGCGGATCGCCTGAGCCTGCCGTCGCGGCATATCCTCGCCGCAGTATGCATCGCAGTTGTATGCGGCGCGACAAGGCCCAGCCAGTTCGTCGTGTGCAAAATACGTGGCGCAGCATGTGAAGAGACTTGTGCGAGTGTGCTCCATCCGATTTCAGAAGTGCATGGGCTGGTCTTGGCGAACCAATGACGTGCTCCATGTGTACTACATGGATACAAACTATGGGTTCTGAGTAGACAATCTCTTCTCGGAACACTTCATTCCTGATATCAGTGCTCATGATAATCTCGCCACGGAATGCGCTCTTGCCATGGCCTCATCTCTCGCTCTGCCAACACGGCATCGCCGTGTCCTCGCATCCATTAATTTGCTGTTGCCGATGAAGCGTCCCGCCCAGGCCCACACTGCGAACATCAAGCTCGCCATTCACATGTCCTAAACGCAACAGTAGCAAAACCTGCCTTTACATCTCTTCGTTCGCAAGTGTAGTTCATCATCCATATTTCTCGGTCTTGGCGCGCCTGATTGATTGGCTGTCCTGGCAACAGCCGGACTTATACCTTCACCGTATTCTTGCAGCCGACCACAGTACTTCCTCAAAACAGCATCTTCTCCACTTCTACTTTCTCTCAGTATGTCTTATTTTTGCCCGTCTCTTGGTTTAAACTTTCCATTTGCGTTTGAACTTCGTGCGTTCGTCATGCTAAGCCCCGTTAGCACGCAGCAATCGCTCCAGCAGTGTCATTTGTACACGCACTAGGTGACGGTTGACCTCACTACCAAGACCGAGCCTTCAACGTCCATGATTTGCTACATAATCTTGAATCCACTTGAGTGCCGTTAAGACATATGGTACTCTGGATATCGTTTGTACCAATACAGAAGCCAGCATGAAGCGTCTCGAATGTCCCCTGTGCGATTTCACCATTCTCTCAAAAGATGGCTACTTCCTTCAGCTGCATTTCGAGCAAGCTCATACCACCGACTCTCCCTTCATTATCCAAGATGATCCGGAGCCGTTGCGACCTTCATTACCACCCACGCCTGTATCGACGGGCAGCAACGACGAGCAAGCGCCTTCCTCTTCCGACTCTTGCGATTCTGATTCTGACTCGGACTTGGACTCTGATGATTCTGACCAAGAAGAAAGAGCCATCAAAAGTCCCACCTCTGATTCTTACGAGCTTGTTTCTCCTTCTGACCCCGACGATCATATGGATTATCGCCGCGTAGAGGCTTTATCATTCGACGAGACTACCCCAAAATATCACTCTAAACGTTCATCCGCTACTATGCACAGCTCATCTTCCACCCATCGCTCACATAGGCGTCGTGCTACGAGCACATCCGTCGAGCACAACGCGAAAACAGACACGCGCGCTGCCTCGAAGAGGACCGACGGCCACAGCCGCAGATCAACCAAGCATGGTCCTCGACGCCGACGGAATACAAATGACAGTGATAAAACTACCATAAGCAGAAGTATCCTAGGGTTTAGCCCATTCACAAAGTCTCATAAGAATGCCAAGCCGCCATCTAAGAACGCCCGTCTTGACGTAAGTCTATTGCCACTCACTGCAATACTTTTTGACTAACTATGTTAGAAATCTGACCTAGGTGAGTATGCTTTTGAAGAGCGCATGCCAGAATGGCTCCACAGGCAGCTTAGTGCCGGCCCCGAGATCACCCTGGTCAATCGCATTGGACGGGACGGTCGCCTCATCAAACATGAGCAGGTGCAAAATGAGACGCCAGGTATCATACCTATTCTTGCACAGCTGTCCGCCTTAGACCGCACGGTACAGCAGGCATATTATTGTCACCCTTCTACCATTCACGTTGGAAAAACACCCCATGAGGGTGGCTTCTGTGGTTACCGCAACATTCACATGCTTCTCTCCTACATTCAAGGTGCAAAAGCACAGGGTCACGAAGAATTTCTTGGTCGATTGCCAACCATCTTGAAGGTGCAGGACCTCATAGAGGAAGCCTGGGATAACGGAATCAACTCGATCGGCCGTGTCCAGACCGGTGGCATTCGCAACACAAGAAAGTACATTGGCACTCCAGAGGTATGCGCTCCCACGTCACTTCGAGGCTATTTCTGACACCCTTACAGGCGCAAGCATTTTTCCTCAACGCAGAGATCAATTGCGCCGTAGAAGTGTTCTTCACCACAGAAGATCGCAAGACCTTGGCCCACAGAACACTTCTTACTGCCGTAGAGCGATATTTTGCCCAAGCAGCTACTGACGATGGCTCCACTGTATGCAAGACCCTACTACCGCCTATCTATCTCCAGCAGCCAGGTCACTCCCTTACAATTGTTGGATTCGAACGCCACTATGATGGCACTTGCCACTTAGTCGTCTTTGATCCCATGTACCATACCACTCCCGCCATGCATAAGTTGCTCGGACGCAAGAATATCAAAACTGCTCGGCCCGAAGTTCTCCATAACTATCGACGCGGCTCTCGTAAGCTTAGAAAGTTTAAGGCTTTTGAAATCTTGATGTGAGCGTTTTATCTTTGATCGTCAATGATCAGCCGCGTACTGACTGATTACAGGCTCACGGCAACACCACCTTTGTTCCCCGCTTGGGATGTATGAGCTTCCACCCCAGCCTTTTTTGTCATTTGTATAGATATTCAGCATATTTTACCGAAATATTTCATATTGATTCATGCCATACAACCACGCTCACAACCTTCTTCCAATTTCTTGAAATTACCTGCGCTAAATGTACATTTTGTAGGTTCTTCGCCAATTTCCTGACTGTCGCTTTGTATACGTCTTTTTTCGTGCTCGCAGCCTTGGATACGATGTCTACCCTGAGGATCATTTTCTCCCGACCTTTCCGTGGCAGCAGTACGGTGGACTATGGTCTTGTGACGATGCTCGTTTTGCCAGAGCAGAGCCTATGGACGTCCTCACTTCTCAAGCTCTTCGGCGTATCACAGGCCTTGGAAGCTCTTTTGATTCTAGCAATGGTAGCAGTCCTAGAAGCCCCACTAGCTTCTTTACTTGCAGTTCTTCTCCACACACGCTAGCCACTGAGTACGATGGCCTTCCATCATGGGGATTTGCACTCGACGGTACTGCGAACAGCTTCATCAACTCATCGCAGCCTACCGGAAGCGGTGCAGTTTTCAATATGGGATCTGTCAGCACCGTCTTGCCACAGCCAACGGCAGTGAAACCATACCTCTCACTCTTGACAGAAGTCGGCAGAAGATATCCAGGCTTTCCCACACCCCTTTCCCCTACCACAAGCGCAAAGGATCTATTCCCCTCTCCAACTTCCAACCCCAGCATCATGTCCGGAACACCCCGTATCCTCAGCTCCGCCATAACCCCCGCTAGCCCCATGAGCATCGACGGATCCGAAATGTGCGGACCCTCCCACAGCTACGACCACTACGCCCCCCACCTCGACTCCATCGACCGCATCCTCAACAAACAAGTCCACAGTCTCCCTCGCACCCCATCCGCTTCTCACCACAGTATCGCAAGTCCCCCGCTCAGTAGCCCCTCACACTACACATCCCCCGGCACCCCACCCCTCCACTTCCCCAACAACCCCCCTCCCCCATCCATCCCCATAGCAAACGGCACAGAATACGAAACCCCCTCCCCCCTCTCCCCCTCCGGAACCCGCCTCTCCTACACCTCCAACCGCAACGTCTCATCCGGCCTCCTCGCCGTGCCACCCCTCTCCGAGCACCAAGTCGCCGAATACCGCTTCTGGCGCCCCTGTGGCCGCCGTAACTGCGGGTTTGGCTGTGGAGGACGCGATGTCGGCGAGGTGGCGGCTGCGAAGAGGTTGTTCAAGGATGTGGAGGATGTTATGGTTGAGGAGGAGGAGGAGGGGAGTAAGAGGGTCAGGAGTGGAGGTGGTAAGGATGGGGTTGGGTGCGATGGCCAAGGGGAGGAAGCGGGCAAGTCGAGTGTTTGGGCTGGACGAAGGTTGGTTACTGATTGGAGTAGTTTTTTGAGGGATTGTGAGAGGGAGGGTGTTGCGTCGGTTTGACAGTTGGTGCTTGTCTGATTTGGGGGGGAGTTGAGTCCACTTTATCGTTTGTGTAGGGGTTTAGGATAGGGATTTTTCTTGGTAATTCATTGTTTTCTTTCTTTCTTTCTTTCTTCCTTCCTCGACTCGACTTTTAGGCATAATTGTCCTTCACAACGATCAAAACATGAATAAATTTCCATATTTGAATGATATTCCAGAAAAAAGGGTATCAAATTGTGACCTTTCATCAACGCCAAAACTAATGCTTACAAATACTACATAGGACACACACATACACACACCCTTCTTTTTTTGTCATCTCCGCCACACATCTGGATGCAAATACTCTGTAAGGGAACAAGTCTAATCGCTATCACTGCCATAATCCACCAACGGCCCCGCCGCAGGCGCTGGTCTCTTATTCGACGGCGCAGCCTTGAACCCCTTAAGCGCCGCCAGGGTACTACCAGACAAAATACCGCTGTTCTGCTGTTGCTGTTGCGCGGCACCGGTGTCTAGTCCCGGGTTCATATCTTGATATGTGTTATCCCCAGCCTCAATCGCCATTCTGTCGCTTGCACCACCCGCTTGGAGTTGCTTGGCTGCTTCCCACTCGCCCTTTTCCTTTGCATACCACACATCATCTGGTGCCTCGTAGCCCTGGAGTCCAAAGCTACCTTCGACTTTGCGCCGCTTCTTGCCCTCCGGGTCTCTGCCTTCGAGCTCGGCCACGTACGCCGCAGGTAGCGCCTTTCTAATTGCCTCTGCAGCCTGTTCCTCAATGCGTCTGGCCTCGCGCTTGGCAGCCTGGGGGTTGGGATCGACGGTTGCCCAGCGGACATTGAGGATCTCGTTGTGGTCGAAAGACTGGTGGTCCATTGCTTCTTTTGCAAACTGGCTGTTTGCCTCGTTCATGTATGTGACGAAAGCTACACCACGCGCTGTTAGGACACGCGTCCGTTCAATCTCGCCCCATTCCTGCATGTGCCGTGCGACAACTTCTTCGATGTCGTCAGTTGGGTGGATGCGCCCAATGTACAGGGTACGGTTTTGGCGCTGGAAGGTTCCTACACCGCCCATGTCATCGCGGTAGTCGGCATGCTTGTCGCGCCCGAAGCAGTCGACGTTGCTAGGGAAAATGTCCGTTACTGTGGGCAGGCGGTGCAGGTATTCGCAATCTACTCCTTTGGGACAAGTGCCGCGCGCGAAGAAGAGACAAAAGTACGCGCCGGGCGTCTTGTCGGCCTTTGTGTAGCCGCTGTCTCTTGCTATGTTGCAGCGACCTTGCGCGGGAGTCTGAGAGAGGTATTTGTCTTCACGGTCACCGCCCGACCACTTGTTGTACCAGACATTGTAGATTGTGCCTGTTTGCGGGGTTTCCTGGGTCTTTATTTCCGCAGGGTCGATCTGAGGGCGGGCAGGTCGTCGTTTGCGCCGGATGATCTTCTTGACTTTCTTGCCTTCGGCATTTGTTGTAACGATAGTTTGTTCGGTCGTGTGAACGAGTTCGTTTGATGCGGATGGTTCGAGAGATTTATCAGTCGCGAGCGACGTTTGTGCGGGTTGTGTATCTGTCATGGCTGTGGCGATGTCAAGGTTGTCGTAGTAAGGGAAAGATGTCGCGACGGAACTTTCGATAGGACGAGGCGCTAGTGCAGGTCGCAGATCAACGTGCACGTGATAGCGTAGCTTCACTGCCTCGCTCTCCCATTGGACAATCATGAGCATCGCTTTTGTATTCCAAAGATCAGTCACCAGATGTGTTTGTTGTTTTATGTTTCTTCCAAATTCACTTACTCGAATCTCCTATCGCCAAAACCTCATTTACTGGTAGTACTACTCATCTTAACTGCCCCATCAATCTCCACCACAGCACCATTGACATACCTCGCCCCATCTCCAAACAAAAACGCCACAACATCCGCCACCTCCTCCGGCGTCCCCAATCTCTCCAGCGCATTTCCATTCCGCATCCTCTCCACTGCCTCTCCACCCTTCACAATCCCCGCATTCGACGGCGTATCAATGTACCCCGGCGCCACGCAATTGACTCTGATGCCCCTGGGCCCAAACTCGAGCGCATGCGACTTGGACATGCCAATGAGCCCAAACTTGGTAGTACAGTATACAGACTGCAGAGCTGAGCCGCGGACGCCACTAATGCTCGAGACGTTGACGATTGCCGAACCGCGCTCAAGGTGAGGTAGACATGCTTGTGTGACGAGGAAGACGCCCTTGAGGTTTGTGTTTACCAACTTGTCCCAGTACTCTTCGCTCGTGTCTTCGACTTTCATACTAGTTGGATTCACGCCTGCACAGTTGAATACATAGTTCAGGCCTCCTAGTTGCTTGACCGTATTGTTGACAAAGCTTTCCACATCCTCCTTCTTGCTGACATCGACTTTCTGGGTGTAGCAGGGCGTGCTACTTTCTGAAGCGACGACTTCAAGGTTGGATTGATTGATGTCGCAGAGGGAGATTGAAGCGCCGAGGGAGGAGAGCTTCAGAGCTGTTGCGCGACTAGTGTGATTTCAGTACAAGGCTATCGTCGAGACTTGTATGAGACAATCGGGAGGAGGGGTCGAAAGCGTACCCAATGCCACTGCCCGCTCCTGTGATAAGAGCAACCTTTCCCTCAAATTCTTTTGTCATGGTAACGGAGAGAAATTTGTTTAGTAAATTCAAGTTCCGGTTAGGGCGCGTGTCAGGCTGTAGTCGCTATTGTACATGTGCAAAGGCATGCTGCACATGATAATGCTCCTGTAATGATGTTACAGTCACCTATCAGAAGTTTGTTCGCGTAAGCACGGGCCCACCCCAACCACAATCGAGCTGCAGAGCTCCATCTTCTTCAACACCACGTAACTACATCAAAATGGCATCTTTTTCTACCAAAATTTCGAGCAATC